GGATAGTCGAGGTCGTCGAGGTATGTAAATAGATTCCATTTGATAGTCGAGGTCGTCTAGGTATGTAAATAGGTTCCATCTGATACTCGAGGTCCTCTAGGTATGTAAATAGATTCCATCGGATTGTCGAGGTCGTCGAGGTATGTAAATAGATTCCATTTGATAGTCGAGGTCGTGTAGGTATGTAAATAGGTTCCATCTGATAGTCGAGGTCCTCTAGGGATGTAAATAGATTCCATCTGATAGTCGAGGCCCTCTAGGTATGTAAATAGATTCCATCTGATAGTCGAGGCCCTCTAGGTATGTAAATAGATTCCATCTGATAGTCTAGGTCATCTAGGTATGTAAATAGATTCCATCTGATAGTCGAGGTCATCTAGGTATGTAGATAGATTCCATCTGATAGTCGAGGTCCTCTAGGTATGTAAATAGATTCCATCTGATGCCTGTGTTGTTACGTTTTAAGGTTGATTTCATTACCCAATCGACGGCAATTACAACGAAAAGGGATGACATGACACAGCCTTGTCTAACTCCGGATTTTACATGAAAACTTGTGTCTGGTGAAGTACCTACAGTGCATGTGAAGTCTGTATAAAACATTTGTATAAGTTGTACTATTTTTGTTGGTATTCCATAGTTTCGTAAGATCTTCCATAAGTTATCTCGGTGTAAACTGTCAAACGCTTTTTCGAAATTTACGAAGTTAATTATAAGTTGTCTCTGCCATGCTGTGCACTGTTCAATGATATTTCTTAGTACATAAATAGGGTCACAGCCGCTCTTTCCTTAGTTTGTTGTCAATGGCCGCTTTAATCCTGTCTATAAGTATTTTTATAAATATTTCACATGGAATTGGTAAAAGGGGGATACCTCTCCAGTTGTTGCAGTTCGTGAGATCTCCTTTCTTGGGTACTTTTATGATGTTTCCTTCTAATATTGCCAAATCTTTTCAAATACTGGATGTAGAATGTTTGCTGTTGCGGTTGGATCTACTTATAAATATTTCTGCTGACAGCTTATGACAGCTTATCATTTCCAGGGGCTTTGTTGTTTTTAAGGTTCTTTACAGCTCTTTCTATCTCAGATTTAGATCGAATTTCTGTGTTTATCTCAAGATCTTGTTCTGCACTTGCTATATTTACTGCTATTTCCGGTTCTGGCCTATTTAATACTTCTTTGAAATGTTCTTTCTATCTACTTGCTTGCTCTCTTTCAGATGTTATTAATCTACCTTCCTTGTCTTTCACTGGCATGTTTGTATTTCTTTTGCAGCCACAGAACTTCTTTGTGATCTGATATACATCACCAACTCATTGTTCTTAAGCAGCCTTTTCAGCCTCTAGTGCCATCCCTTCAATGAAGTCTTTTCTGTCTTTCCTAGTGGCTTTCTTTACTTCCTTGTTACAGTTGGAGTATTGTCCCATCAATCTCTGTTTTAGTCTGTCTGAATGTGTATGACATATCTTTTTCTTTAGCTCTTTCCTGTTGTCAAGAAGTGCCCAAGTCCCTGGTTTGATCCATTCTTCGTGTTTTTGACTTTTTAAACCCTAGTTTTTTTCCACTGGTCTTTTTAAACACTTCCTAGCCATTGTTTGTCTATTGTTTCATTTTCTTCCATGTTGGTTTGATGTCGTTTAAAGGTTTTAAACATATTTGACCCCTGTGACCTTGAATATATGTCAAGGTCATTCTTTTGAACAAACTTGGTAGCCAAATTTCATTGTCAAAGGCCTCTTGGTTATTCAGAAGAAGTTGTATAAAGGTTTTAAACATATTTAACCCTGGTGACCTTAATATAAGTCAAGGTCATTCATTTTAACAAACTTGATAGCCCTCTATTACAGCATGCTACCTGCCAAAAAGCATCATCCTAGGCCTCTTGGTCATTGAGAAGAAGTTGTTTACAGGTTTTAAACATATTTGACCATTGTGACCTTGAACATAAGTAAAAGTCATTTATTTGAACAAATTTGGTAGCCCTTTATCCGAGTATGTTACTGGCCAAATTTCATTATCCTAGGCTTCTTGGTTATTCAGAAGAAGTTGTTTAAAGGTTTTAAACATATTTGACCCATGTGACCTTGAATATAAGTAAAGGTCATTTATTTGAACAAATTTGGTAGCACTTCATCCAAGCATATTACTGGCCAAATTTCATTATCCTAGGCCTCTAAGTAATTCAGAAAAAGTTGTTTAAAGTTTTTAACATATTTGACCCCTGTGACCTTGAAAATAGGTGAAGGTCATTTATTTGAATAAACTTCGAGCCCTTCATCCCAATTTGCTTCTGGCCAAATAACATCACCCTAGGCCTTCTGGTTATTAAGAAGAAATCGTTTAAAGTAAAATACTGACCCCAGCCGGCCGGCTAGACAACGGACGACGCACCACGGCATAAGCTCACTTTGCCCTGCTAAAACTGAAAAAAAACTCCATATTTTTACATTTAAAACTGGTAAACTGATGATGTATCCTAACTAACATCCACTGTTTATAAATCTAAACTTTAACACTACCTTTGCTTATCTTACCGGCAGCATTGCATTGAACAGGTGTGTGATGAAGGATGCACCACTGTGTACGGCCTTCTCCCCCTGGATCAGGTTCGACATGGAGTGACCTAGTCAATGACAAAACAATGATTCATATCTGTTCACTGTAACTATTACACAATAACTACACATTAAAACAGTTAATTTAATTGTTTCTGTAATAAAATGAAATTGTAAACCGGCATCTATTTATACTAAGATAATCAACTTTAAGAAAATTGTATCGCGTAAAATATTTTGACATGTGGTTGATACAATTTTTTTTGTAATCATAAAATGATTGTTTTACGACCCTAATATTCAAGATTCTAACCATAAGGTCGAAGTTTGACACATTGTGCTTTAATTATTTAAAATTAAACCTTTATATGCCCTTTATTTATTTAAGAAAACCTCTATAAATTGCTATTTTTCAATTGCTTCCTCACCTCCTGCTTACTTATTTCCTCACTCTTGCAATTCCTGTATTCTCCTTTCTCAATGTGTTGTAAACCCCTTAAATAACGTAGAATGTAGCAATATCTCTCAATGTGTTGTAAACCCCTTAATAATGTAAAACATAGCAATATCTCTCAATGTATTGTAAACCCCCTTAATGTAAAACGTAGCAATATCTCTCAATGTGTTTTAAACCCCTTAAATAACGTAGAACGTAGCAATATCTCTCAATGTGTTGTAAACCCCTTAATAATGTAGAACGTAGCAATATCTCTCAATGTGTTGTAAACCCCCTAAATAATGTAGAATGTAGCAATATCTCTCAATGTGTTGTAAATCCCCTTAATAATGTAAAATGTAGCAATATCTCTCAATGTGTTGTAAACCCCTTAAATAACGTAGAACGTAGCAATATCTCTCAATGTGTTGTAAACCCCTTAATAATGTAGAACGTAGCAATATCTCTCGATGTGTTGTAAACCCCTTAAATAACGTAGAATGTAGCAATATCACTCAATGTGTTGTAAACCCCTTAATAATGTAGAACGTAGCAATATCTCTCAATGTGTTGTAAACCCCCTTAATGTAAAACGTAGCAATATCTCTCAATGTGTTTTAAACCCCTTAAATAACGTAGAACGTAGCAATATCTCTCAATGTGTTGTAAACCCCTTAATAATGTAGAACGTAGCAATATCTCTCAATGTGTTGTAAACCCCCTAAATAAAGAAGAATGCAGCAATATCTCTCAATGTGTTGTAACCCCCTTAATAATGTAAAACATAGCAATATCTCTCAATGTGTTGTAAATCCCCTTAGTAACGTAGAATGTAGCAATATCTCTCAATGTGTTGGAAAACCCCTTAATAATGTAAAATGTAGCAATATCTCTCAATGTGTTGTAAACACCCTAAATAACGTAGAACGTAGCAATATCTCTCAATGTGTTGTAAACCCCCTTAATGTAAAACGTAGCAATATCTCTCAATGTGTTTTAAACCCCTTAAATAACGTAGAACGTAGCAATATCTCTCAATGTGTTGTAAACCCCCTAAATAACGAAGAATGCAGCAATATCTCTCAATGTGTTGTAAACCCCCTTAATAATGTAAAACATAGCAATATCTCTCAATGTGTTGTAAATCCCCTTAATAACGTAGAATGTAGCAATATCTCTCAATGTGTTGTAAATCCCCTTAATAACGAGAATGTAGCAATATCTCTCAATGTGTTGTAAACCCCCTTAATAACGTAGAATGTAGCAATATCTCTCAATGTGTTGAAAACCCCCTTATTAATGTAAAACGTAGCAATATCTCTCAATGTGTTGTAAACCTCCTAAATAACATAGAATGTAGCAATATCTCTCAATGTGTTGTAAACCCCCTTAATAATGTAAAACGTAGCAATATCTCTCAATGTGTTGTAAAACCCCTTAACAATGTAAAACGTAGCAATATCTCTAAATGTGTTTTAAACCCCCTAAATAACATAGAACATAGCAATATCTCTCAATGTGTTGTAAAACCCCTTAATAATGTAAAACATATTAATATCTCTCAATGTGTTGTAAACCCCCTTAATAATATGACACATAGCACTATATACAGGTTTTTTAATGTACAGATATGTGATACTGTAAATTGTGTTTACAGAAATTCTTCAATAATTCTTCAAAAAACTTCAACAGTACCAACAGATACAATAATTCCTCTGCTGACTAGCTCCTTGATGACCTCTTCTGACCTGTCTAACTCCGGGGCCAGGGTCACAATAGCTGTGTTGTCCAGTGTACCATACATCTGCATCAGGTCAGGAAATCCATTGGTGAATTCTCTGATGAGTGCTTCATTATGGGCACCTTTCTTCTCCTGACTGATGAAGGGCCCTTCAAGATGCAAACCTACAATACATGAAATCAGGCAATTAGAAGATATTTACTGTGATCTTTAGAAAATATCTCAAATATCTGTCTATTTGTTCTTTATTTACTTTTGAGAAAACCAATAGCATGTATTTCAAAATCTTATGGAAATTGAATCTAGAAAACTGATCCTATCTTTTATCCTTTATAATGTTGGTATTGCCCCCACAGCCTTGGTAATGTAACATTACTGAATGCCATGAAACCCTGGTGATGCCATACAGCCTTGGTAACCTGACATTACTGAATGCCATGAAACCCTGGTGATACCACACAGCCTTAGAAACGTGAAATAATTTAATGCAAAGAATCCCTCCCTGGTGATGCGACACAGCCTTGGTAACATGACATTACTTAATGCCATGAAACCCTGGTGAATCAACACAGCCTTGGTAACATGACATTCCTGAATTCCATGAAACCCTGGTGATGCCACCAAGCCTTGTTAATGTAACATTACTGAATGCCATGAAACCCTGGTGATGCCACACAGCCTTGGTAACATGACATTACTTAATGCCATGAAACCCTGATGATGCCACAAAGCCTTGGTAACATGACATTACTGAATGCCATGAAACCCTGGCGATGCCACACAGCCTTGGTTACATGACATTTTTTAATGCCATGAAACCCTGGTGATGCCACACAGCCTTGGTAACATGACATTAATGCCACAAAACCTTGGTAACATGACATTACCGAATGCCATGAAACCCTGGTGATGCCACACAGCCTTGGTTACATGACATTACTGAATGCCATGAAACCCTGGTAATGCCACAAAGCCTTGGTAACATGACATTTTTAATGCCATGAAACCCTGGTGATGCCACACAGCCTTGGTAACATGACATTACTGAATGCCATGAAACCCTGGTGATGCCACAAAGCCTTGGTAACCTGACATCACTTAATGCCATGAAACCCTGGTGATGCCACACAGCCTTAAAAACGTGAAATAATTTAATGCAAAGAATCCCTCCCTGGTGATGCGACACAGCCTTGGTAACATGACATTACTGAATGCCATGAAACCCTGGTGATGCAAAACAGCCTTGGTAATGCAACATTACTGAATGCCATGAAACCCTGGTGATGCCACACAGCCTTGGTAACATGACATTACTGAATGCCATGAAACCCTGGTGATGACACACAGCCTTGGCAATGTAACATTACTTAATGCCAAGACCCTGATGAATCAACACAGCCTTGGTAACATGACATTCCTGAATTCCATGAAACCCTGGTGATGCCACCAAGCCTTGGTAACGTGACATTACTAAATGCCATAAAACCCTGGTGATGCCACACAGCCTTGGTAATGTAACATTACTTAACCAGGGTAAGGTTTAAAATATTTATGATACCATAAAGCCTTTGTAAAGTAACACTACTTTAACACTGCCATGCAATACAGCCAGGGTGAGGTCATAAACTTTGATGTCACACAGCTTTGGTCACATGACACTACTTAAATGATACTAGGTATCTTTTCTGATGCCACACATAATACATGAGGTCTCAATGACATCATGATGCCACATAGTCTTGGTGACATCAAAAACAAAATGATGTAAGGCCAATGAAACATTACACTACTTTAAAGATGCAAGGCATCTTTGGTGATGCCATACAGACAAAAAGAGGTCACAAAGCCTTTATGTTGTCTCACATCCTTGGTTATGTGCCACTACCTTAATGATGGTATGCATCAGTGTGATGCCACGCAGCCTTAGTGACATCAACCAGCCTTCATGATGTAGCACAGCCTTGGTTACACAACTACTTTGACAATGTCACACACCTTTGGTGCTACCACACAGCCAAGGGAAGGTTTCAAAGCTTTTATGATGCCACATAGTCTAAGTGACAAGACATAACTATAATGATGCTTTGCATCTTTGGTGATCTAAAAGCCTTTATGATGCCACATATCATTGGTGATGACACACAGCATATATGAGATTAAAAAGCCTTTATGGTGCCACATATCCTTGGTGATGCCAACTGCCTAGGTGAGATAACAAAGCTTCCATGATGCCATATCTCCTTGGTGAAGCCACACAGTCAGGGTGAGATTAAAAAGCCTTTATGGTGCCACATATCCGAGGTGATGCCACACAGCCTAGGCGAGATTACAAAGCCTTTATGATGCCATATATCCTTGGTGAAGCCACACAGTCAGGGTGAGATTAAAAAGCCTTTATGATGCCATATATCCTTGGTGATGCCACACAGTCAGGGTGAGATTAAAAAGCCTTTATGATGCCATATATCCTTGGTGATGTCACACAGCATTGAGACCATTGTCTGATGTACTGAATGCCATGAAACCCTGGAGATGCCACACAGCCTTGGTAACACAACATTACTGAATGCCATGAAACCCTGGAGATGCCACACAGCCTTGGTTACATGACATTACTGAATGCCATGAAACCCTGGTGATGCCACACAGCCTTGGTAACACAACATTACTGAATGCCATGAAACCCTGGTGATGCCACACAGCCTATGTGAGATTACAAAGCCTTTCTGGTGCCACATATCCTAGGGGATGCCACACAGCCTAGGCGAGATTACAAAGCCTTTATGATGCCATATATCCTTGGTGATGTCACACAGCATTGAGACCATTGTCTGATGTACTGAATGCCATGAAACCCTGGAGATGCCACACAGCCTTGGTAACACAACATTACTGAATGCCATGAAACCCTGGTGATGCCACACAGCCTAGGTGAGATTACAAAGCCTTTATGATGCCATATATCCTTGGTGATGTCACACAGCATTGAGACCATTGTCTGATGGAACTGTATAATTACCTAAAATGCCTGCCCCTCCTTTTCCACCATTGCTTTTTTTTATCCTTGGTACAATCTGTGGTTAAATAACACAAAATAAGAGCTCAACAATATAAGGCAACAGTAGATAACTTGTTTAGAAAAACATTTCTATTTCCTTGGACGTATGTACTAGTTACTGTATTTTATAGAGATGTATAATAATTATGTCTAGGGAATAACCGTACTGTGTTTTATAGAGATGTATAATAATTACGTCTAGGGAATAAGTGTACTGTGTTTGGAGATTGAGGGTAGTACTTCTACATTATGTATTATAGTTATACTGGCACCACAAAGCAGGGTCCATGTGACATCATTATTACATTATAATGTCACAAATCTCAAAACACAGATAACCAAAAAACAATCATTTAAGCTACTTGTGGAGGTCCTTTTGAGATCACCCTGCCAAAGATTAGGGGCTTCAGTGTTATTCAAAGTGAGGTGTAAGTCATGCTATTGATGTTGTTAATAATCAATTTACTCACATGTTGGGGTCAGGCAGGGCCAAGTACATCATTACATTTACTCACTTGTTGGGGTCAGGCAGGGCCAAGTACATCATTACTTTTACTCACATGTTGGGGTCAGGCAGGGCCAAGAACATTATTACATTTACTCACATGTTGGGGTCAGGCAGGCCCAAGTACATTATTACATTTACTCACATGTTGGGGTCAGGCAGGGCAAAGTACATCATTACAATTACTCACATGTTGGGGTCAGGCAGGGCCAAGTACATCATTACATTTACTCATATGTTTGGGTCAGGCAAGGCCAAGTACATCATTACATTTACTCACATATTGGGGTCAGGCAGGACCAAGTACATCATTACATTTACTCACATGTTGGGGTCAGGCAGGACCAAGTACATCATTACATTTACTCACATGATGGGGTCAGGCAGGGCCAAGTACATCATTACTTATCTGGACTTCATATTCAAACAAGAAACTTGGGGATGGTTATTATTTTAAATGACAGATCAAATCCCATGTTTCATTTCAAATGGATGAAAGCTAGCATTTTTCCATGTTTTTTCAGTATTTATTTCTGTTTCTTGTGTTATTATGCTAGACACAATAATTGCTCAACATAATTTCTTTTTATTATTTGACAACATAATAAGTGGTGTAAAATTGAAATTGGAAATTATGTAATTAATACATTTTCAGGGCTAAAATCATGATTTAAAGTTAAGGTTTCCAGTTTTAAAAAGCAGTATTTATTCTAACCTGTGAATATGTTTGTTGAGAGCATGTGACCAGGGTTGGACAGAAGGAGGTGACCCCGTGTTCCAGCAGGCCTTTCGCAACCTTTTCTACACCCTTCTCAACATCAGTCACATCTGAAGAGAAGTCCACACCAAAGGCCCCTGATGAGATATTTTAATGGGAAATTACACAGTGATAATATTGCTCACAGAGTTACCACAGAATGTCAGAAAACCAGGACACAGAACATGGTAACGTAAATGTTTCACAATGTAGCCGTGATAATATTTGCAATACACAATATAATGTCTCTGTTATTTTAATTTTTAATTATGCATAGCATTGCGAGTCCTAGAATTTGTACTTTATCATCAATGTGCTGTGTATGTCTGTGTACCTGTACTGTCCGTGTCACGTGATGTATGTTACCTGTGGTATGTATGTACCTGGTAGGTGTAAGGTTAGAGTGTGTATGTCTATGTACCTGTACTGTCCGTGTCACGTGATGTATGTTACCTGTGGTATGTATGTACCTGGTAGGTGTAAGGTTAAAGTGTGTATGTCTATGTATCTGTACTGTCCGTGTCACGTGATGTATGTTACCTGTGGGGTGTATGTACCTGGTAGGTGTAAGGTAAGAGTGTGTGTGTCTGTGTACCTGTACTGTCCATGTCACGTGATGTATGTTACCTGTGGTAGGTATGTACCTGGTAGGTGCAAGGTAAGATTGTGTATGTCCGTGTACCTGTACTGTCCGTGTCACGTGATGTATGTTTCCTGTGGTATGTATGTACCTGGTAGGTGTAAGGTAAGAGTGTGTGTGTCTGTGTACCTGTACTGTCCGTGTCACGTGATGTATGTAACCTGGGGTATGTATGTACCTGGTAGGTGCAAGGTATGAGTTTGTATGCCCGTGTACCCGTACTGTCCGTGTCACGTGATGTATGTTACCTGTCGTATGTACGTACCTGTACTGTCAATGTCACGTGATGTATGTTACCTGTGGTATGTATGTACCTGGTAGGTGCAAGGTAAGATTGTGTATGTCCGTGTACCTGTACTGTCCGTGTCATGTGATGTATGTTACCTGTGGTATGTATGTACCTGGTAGGTGTAAGGTAAGAGTGTGTATGTTTGTGTACCTGTACTGTCTGTGTCACGTGATGTATGATACCTGTGGTATGTACGTACCTGGTAGGTGTAAGGTAAGATTGTGTATGTCTGTGTACCTGTACTGTCCGTGTCACGTGATGTATGTTACCTGTGGTATGTATGTACCTGGTAGGTGTAAGGTAAGANTCCGTGTCACGTGATGTATGTTACCTGTGGTATGTATGTACCTGGTAGGTGTAAGGTAAGAGTGTGTATGCAAGTGCCTCGTTTTGGTTTTATATGGTCAGTGTCTTTGTGTAAGTTTGGTGCGTAAGTCATTCATCATAGACATTTGACAGCGGACATGTTCACAGTGGACAGAGCGAGACGAGTAGTATGGGGAATTTCAACAAGAGGCCCAATGGGCCTGCATCGCTAACCTGGTATTAATCTTACACTTGTAATCGTAAAAGTGGACTAAAATACAGCTACAGGCAGAATATCAGTGTTTGATTCAGAAGAACCTATTAAAAGATTTAAACATATGATGCCTGTGACCTTGAATGTAGAACAAGGGTTGAAAGTGGGTCAAGGTCATTCATTTGAACAAACTTGGTAGTCCTTCATCCCAGCATGCTACAGGCCCAATTTCAGTCCCCTGGGCCTTTTGGTTATTGAGAAGAAGTGGTTTGAAGATTTAACAACATTTGACCCCTGTGACCTTGAAAGTGGGTCAAGGTCATTCATTTGAACAAACTTAGTAGCCCTTCATCTCAGCATGCTACAGGCCCAATATCAGTAACCGTGGCCTTTTGGTTATTGAGAAGAAGTCGTTTGAAGATTTTAACATATTTGACCCCTGTGACCTTGAAAATAGGTGAAGGTCATTTATTTGAATAAACTTGGTAGCCCTTCATCCCAGCATGCTACTGGCCAAATATCATCATCCTAGGCCTTGTGGTTACTGAAAAGAAGTTGTTTAAAGTAAAAAGTTGACGCCGGACAGACGGCCGGCCGAACACGGACCCCGCACCATGACATAAGCTCTCTTGTCCTTCGGGCAGGTGAGCTAATAATTGTCATGTACTAGAATGCATTTTAATGATTTAACTATAAGCATTATTATTCTTACTCAAATATCTATATATGTAAGTTAGAATAATATCGATTTGGATAAAATATCTCTTTTCCTGAATTATCATTTTTGTGAATATCCGTCATCGATTATTTTGATTGGTACCAAAGTGATATGGCAGATATCCATCACTTTGTTCCTAAGGTCACTTAAAGCAATATGGCCTCAGCCTCCAGGAGGATCAGCCCTTCTTTGTGTACACTTTTGAATCCCAACTATCTGAGAATGCTTTGAACCACATATGGGTGATATCAATCTCTTAGTTCCAGAGAAGAAGTTGCTTAAAGCAATATGACCGAATTATCTGATTTTTAGCCCTCACCTAGGGATGCTTCCAGTCAAATTTGGTTATCGGTAAATTCCAAAGAGTGGTTAAGGAAAAGAGTTTGTTTGAAGAAATTGTTGACAAACAGATGACAGATGCTGCAGTATGGCATAAGCTCACCTTGGTCTTCAGATCAGGTATGTTAAAAAACAAAAAATGGGTTGGACTTTAAAAAAATAAACATGTTCAGAATTACTATATCAAATCTTACCATTGATCTGTACGTCAATCAATCCAGGGGAGATAATAACACCACCACAGTCAATCTGTTTATCAGCTGCAGCTTTCTCATCAAAAAACAGTTTCTCAGGGTTGATAATTTTTCCAGCCCTTACCCAGAGATCATCAGCAATCAGCTGGTGATTACGTAACAGGCGGCAGTTTGTAAATTGGTACACAGGTTCATGCTGGGACGGCATCGTGTTCAGTCTGAAATATCTGTCAAGTGTATATTACACTGATACAATGGTGTCACATCTGTCCCCCTTACTTCTCTTTTTAGATAGAATTGTGGCTATCAACACTGATCTGACTGCTGTCGTATATATATAATTACTCTATAAAACTTACAGGTAATACAGGAGACCTACGGAATTAGTAGTTCTCACATGTTATCAGTATTAGTGACAGTCCTGAACTCCTAATTTTCCTGTGGAGACTTGCTAACACTTTAAGATCCCAATCTTAGTACATCTAATGGCACTCACCAACATTTGAAAGTGGCTTAAGGAGAAATATTCAGTGACCTTGTTGAGAAAAATAATGTCTTATATAATTTTAAGAAACAAAAAACCTTTTCTGTACCAAGGGCTAGAAACACAAGGTATGGAAAGATGTCAATTCATTTTAAGGCCGCCCGGGTATGGAATAGCCTGGAGCACCAATAACATACGTCCTGGCATCTACAGGAATCAAACACAGCTTGCTGTCCGTGGCCCCGAACCAGCCAGCTATCAACAATGTAACAATTTCCTCTACTTAAGTATCCTTATCTGGACATCCCTTTCTTCCTTAGATTTTAATGCATTATATTTCTTAGTTTGTTTATTTTTACTTTGATACTGAAAGCTCTTTTACAGTCTGACCAGTGCTGCCTTTGTAACAAATATTCTGTAAACAGATAAAAACTATTGCCTTATTTAAGAGATAATTGAAGAAACCTTTTTGACCTCAATTATATATATATGTTACAGGAGATGGAAAAATGCACGGAAATACCGTGGTTTGAACCCGGGACCCTCCTAACTCTAGACCCTCCTAACTCTAGACCCCTCCTAACTCTAGACCCTCCTAACTCTAAACACACTCCTAACTCACTCCTGACTCTAGACACACTCCTAACTCACTCCTAACTCTAGACCCTCCTAACTCTAGACAGACGCTCTACCAATTGAGCTACCTGGTGCCAACGATCAACCCAGTCCAGTTCCTATACAGACCTTGTGATGGTTAAAAGTAAATGAAATGACAAAAAAGTTTCTTGGTATACATTGTATCTCTAGTACTTTCACCTTTTAGAGGTTCATCAGGGAAAATGTAATACAATAATTGAATAAACCAGGGAAGTACTCAGAAACTCTTGTCATTTATATATATGTATATATCATATGTAATTATAAGATTAATCTGCCCAAAACTATTGATGGAAATGACAATATTTACTTACTATGAAGCGATAAATTAGCTGTCAGATGTGAATTGACATGCGGGTCTTCACAAGTGCATCACATGGAGTGCCACAGGAATGTGTACCTATAAATACATACTTACATATGTTGTCTACCTGGACAAATCTTCCAGTCTGAGCTCGGGAAATCTTATCAGCTGTAAGAGATTTATCAAGTAGGTTAAGTAAGGACTACCAAGGCATTACACCTTGGTCCACGTGAACATTCACCTGATAGGGTAGTAAATCGTTAAATCATAAACGTGTTACCTACGTCTCTGGTACATGTATACGTACTGTACAGAGGCTTTATCGTTATAAATAAAAGTACAGTAAAAGTGAGAGTACGGAATTTATAAACACTGTTTTCAACTTCTCGTGTAAATTTGGCAGCTAGACGAAATTATTCTCGCTCGATCAATCTGACCATGCAGACCAATTGTATAGTAAGCTTAACACGGTACGTTAAGCACTGTTTGCTGTGATCTATGTTTTACATTCAGCTTTATGCCTACATAATTTTTACTATTAGTCAACTAGTATCATGAAGATATCGTAATATATGTTGTGATTTAATAGAATAATACAAAATGCAATATTGTAAACAATTATCATAGATTTCTTAACTGTTCGCAGCATCACACACCTACCCCAAACCAGCCACTCGGATTCACGTTTGTGTCGAAGCTTTTGATTGGTTCATTTTGCACCAACGGGGCGACAAAACCAAAAATGCATTTGGGTGAAGTTACTAGGTGATTTTTTGTATTTAGGATGTCATATCACCGTAAATATAAATTGGATTTTTATTCGGAAACTAGCACATGAAAGATAATTCTATATCCTGTACAATGGTATAAGTTTTGCAAGGCAATATTTAAAATTAGAAGTAAAAGTGGTGGCCGGAATCGAACCACTATGAAAGACAATGGAAATGTTTTTCAACTCTCTAGGTGCAAATAAATACAATAAATCGCAGACCACTCTAGGTAGGGCAATGGTATACTCTTTAAGATAATATCAGCTGTATCAACACACCTTACAAATTAATTGCAAAAGTGGTGGCCGGAACATTTTTATTCGGGTTGGCAGATACGTATATATTGTTTCTCTGAGGTTGGTACCACAGGTGCTGGACACACTAATGTGATGTGTGTATATATAATACACATCATATTAGTGTGTCCAGCACCTGTGGTTGGTACTTTTCCGTGACTAGTATGAACCGTACCACAGTGGCGCACCAAGGGGTGTTGCAACACCCGTTTTTAGTGTCCAAAAATTATCTGGACCAAGGTTTTTGAAGATTTTCCTCTATTTCATATGAGATTTCCTTCTAATATCAACCATCCCTTGAACCACGGAATTAGGGTAAGTCTATCTAAGTCCGTGCTTGAACTATGATTTTCTATGGCTTCCCCTTGCCAGCAGTTTGGATATCTGTATATGCCTCAGGGTGTTTCCGAAATAAAGAGTCCACTACTTATACTCTAAACAATAGGGAATTAACCCTCTATTGTCTATTATTACATGTAGTAGGGTCTCCAGTAAGGTCAGTGGTCAAGGCTCACCAGACTGACTCTACCTAATCTTATTGTTCTAATGTCACGGTGAGGTGATCACCCTGTCAGTAGGGAGACGACTATACCAATTGTTGGAATTGGGTAAAAGATGTTTATAGGTAAAGTGTTATTTCAAATGTAGAGTCTATTTAATGATAGACAAACCTGTAGTTTCACCTGTGGTTTATTGTACACATGATCACCAGGAGACGAAGGGCATGACACAAGCATCAACATTTTAACCAAAAACTACATTTTTAACAACACCCAAAATTAATTCCTGACAGTGACGCTAGACATAAATTGGTTGTTCACGTACACATGTGGGTATACGATTAAACTATACTGCCCGGTGTTTTTTTTAACTTTTCATGTGATCTACGTTCGCGATAATGACAAAACCAAAGCGATAGGACGAAACCCCGCCGTAACGAAAACCCGCCAAAAGGACGAAAGCCGCCAAAGCGAAAAGACGAAAAGACGAAAAAGCGACAAAACGGAATAACAAAATAAGGCGGAAAGGAGGGAGAGAAGACGCCATTTTATTTCTAAGCTTTGGCGTTATTTTCACTTCGGTTTGGCATTATTTCGCTTTAGCGGGTTTCGAATCCACGATCCCTGGTTCCTAGTCGGACGCTCTACCACTGACCTAAAGGAAAATTCCCTCTAGCTCGAAGCTAGAAGGCGACCGTAATACCACGGAATTAGATTGCTATCTAAGTCCGTGGTCATACTATGTACCTGCCACAATTGTAACGTTAGCAACTGTTTAGTTAGTGTAAAAACATCTACTGGGAATTCTTTACTTTTCACATGAGTTTTATATTCGTTGATTCTTTCTGGTGTATAATTACACGTCCGTATTTGAAGAACTATTCAATTCGATTGGATGGCCGAACATATCCCGTCTTGGGGCAAGTTCGGACAGACAGTCGCGGGTAAGTTCGGCCCACATTGGAATTAGCATATTATGACGCCATAAAGCATGCAACGTCAGATTTTCCCACTAATTTCACGACTTTCCATATGTTTCATGGGCCGTATACCTGCCCAAGTATCATGGGATGAACTTGCCCCTCTTCACAGTATGGGTGGCGGTTCGGGCCAAAAACGATATACAGTTACGCGTTAAAAAGGTATCGCGTTAGAAGTGCATGCAACGCGTTAAAACTGACTTTTAACGCGTTATTAGTGCATTTAACGCGTTAAAAGTCACTTCTAACGCGTTAGAATTCACGTCTCGCTCCACTTAGCGACTGGCATATAACAACACAACGCAAATATCTATTTTGCCGCTAGCTCGCCGTAAGGACGCATGGCGGTGGGCGTTTAATCAGTATATATACATGCACAACATTACACATAATCCATGACAAAAACCAAAATGCAATCGAAATACATATATACAAATAACCCCTCGTACATATAAGGTTGGTTAAAAGCTTGCCGTCATCTGACGGGGAAAAATGTTTACGCCGCAGTCTGACGTTGACTGCGCGAAACGACAATCAACCTGCACGCCCAGGAAAAACCGGAGATATCCCCCGGAAACCTGTATCCAAAAGTGGGAAAACTATTATTTCCCTGCAAGTCCGATTTCTATGAGGTGACAGTTTGACCGCTGTCTACTCTTTTATAACAGACCTCCTAAACAACCCTAAGAAAAAACCCACACCCTATACATCCTAAGTTTAGAATGAACCGTCCGTCCCGAGTAGGCGACTAGAAATGACCACGTTATTCCCGCTTCTACTGCGAACCGCGGAATATTTGAATATAACGCGTAAAAATGGTAAATGCACTGGCCAATCAGAGAAATCGTTTCATAGTTGATGCTTTTGATATTTAAAATAAATAAAAAACAAAATTATATTGAAAAACCCAGACAATAACCCATTTCCACGTCATATTTTTCTTCTCAGTAATGTGGAAATGGGTTGTTGTCTGGTGTTTTTTTCAATATTGATAAACAAATCTTCATTTGATTTAAATAAAATATGACAGTTTTTTTGACATATGAATAAAATTTCCAGAGCCTTGAAAGTGGTGTCGGAACGCAATTTATAATATTATAATTGAATTTCAGGTAATGTTCTATTTTTTGGGAACTTTAAAAAGACATTTTTGCTTTCTCGTTTCTTCATTAAACAATCCCTGTATGAACATAAAATTATCACATAAAAGGAACATAAAAATTGTTTGGAGTCCTTAAAGGAATGAGAATGATAATGTATAAGAAAGAGGAAGGAACAGCAGATAGCAGATAAGTGTGTATCATTGTGATAATGAATGATGTTGCATACAAGTATTAAAGTTGCCAGGTTCACGATGATGTTGAACAACATGCATTGTATATTATATAAGTGTGAAATCTGGTGATTACCAACATACATTAGGTGGTAAGGTATCCACTAGTTCTATACGTGTAGGAAATCCACCATTTGTCCTTCACAGATCTCGATAAGTATTTATATGTAATATTTATGAAGTGCAGCGTTTCCAGAGGGATTTTCTGTTTAGTTGTAAGGGTATATTTTTGTATTTAAAAATGGTCGAAGGTCATATATATATATATGTTTCTAGTCATTGTCATAAATTGTTAAGATTCTATTCAACGTTAACATGATTGATAGTTTGTTGTTCTTTTTATTGTAATTAATAAGTTGGGCTTGAAGTCTATTCAACACATAATTAGTGTTTTACGGACTAGTACAGACATGGAGAATGAGACAGAAAAGGCATGAAGAGAAAGAACCTACATTGGTGGAAAATAATGGGATTCTGAGTATTTCTCCTGATAAAGATAGAGTATATTGCACATGTAATGCATGTCTTCATAAAAACGGCTGCATTGACAAGAAAGGGTGTTTCAAATGTTCCTCATAAGGTCCTGAATACTGATGTTTTACTTTTCAGGCGGGCCCAATATGCAATGTAGTCGCCTTGGATTTTATTAGGCATTACCAATTCCCTCAGGTGGCCGTTTAGGCCCATACACCTCTTGTGTCTACACACGATCGGATTGACGGCACATAATTACCGGTTGGATTATAGTTGCTTCGGAATAATTGACTACTCGTGCCTTTTCATGTTCATATTAATGCTAATATTATGCATGTGAAAGTTGCAGCACACACACTGCACATGTACATCTAAAATGCTGTGCCAAATGACATTCGTCCCTGTCGGCCGATTCGATTACTAGTGTTTGTATGCGACGTTTTCGTGTTTTCAAGTTTCCTGTTTTTGGGATAGCAAAGAAAGTGGCTAGGGAAGAACGTAGTAGAGATGAGAATTGATTTGGGGAGGAATTAAGAGTATTTTACACCTAGTATGGACATTAACGGTCTTTTAAACACTTTTAGTGATACAAATCCCAGAAATTTTTGGAAACTTGTCCGCAGATTAATAAAATCATCTCAAACGTCTGGTAGTATACCGCCATTACGGAGTGCGACTGGAAACATAGAAATGGATGACGACATAAAGACTAACATACTAATGACTACTTTGCTTCTATTTCTACTATCGACGATACTGACACAGACGTACCTGTTATAGAATCCAGAACAGACTCGACTATCTCAGACATACCCTTTAATATTAATGACATTATTGACATACTCAAAAATTGGTAAAGCTGTAGGAAATGATACAATTAGTCATAATATGTTAAAGAACACTGCTAATTCAGTTGCTTATCCACTATCTTTAATCTTTCGTTCTTCTTTGGAGACTTGATATTTCCCCAGGCAATGGAAGCTTGCTCTAGTGATGCCAATTTTTAAAAAAGGAGATAAACAAGACCCCTCGAATTATAGACCTATTGCATTGCTAAGTACTATTGGTAAGGTTTTTGTAAGATTAGTTGCTAAACATTTACATAACTACCTTTTAGAGAATTCTCTTATATATAAGTATCAGTCAGATTTTCAACCAGGTCATTCTACCGTACACCAGCTTATAGAAATATACCACAACTTGTGCGACAATCTTGAAAAAAAGCAACCCACCTGTTTAGTCTTTTGTGATATTTCTAAGGCACTCGATCGAGTGTGGCACAGGGGGCTGGGGGTGAAAATAGCTAGCTATGGAATATCGGGTAAGTTATTGGAATGGTTAATTGATTATATTACAAATAGATCTCAACAAGTATTTTTTGGAAACAGTAAATCCTCTGTTAAGACAACTAATACAGGAGTACCTCAGGGTTCAGNCCTGATAAATGGTTAGCTAGTTTTAATCCTGCAAAAACAGAGGCTTTACTTATTTCTAATATAGAACTAGATCACCTGATTGAAATAGATTTTGATAATATCAGTATAGACTTTGTTGATAACCATAAACATCTGGGAGTATTCATTGATGCTAACTGTAAGTGGAGCTATCATATTGACAATATTTGTAAAAAAGTAGTCAAGCAATTAGGTGTTCTCCGTAAATTGAAATATAATCTAAACCGCCGTACATTAAATAAGATATATATATCGTTTATACTTCCTATTCTAGAATATTGCTGTGAAGTTTAGGATGGTTGTACTCTTACTGATACAGACAAGTTAGAAAAGTTACAATTAGAGGCAGGACGTATTGTCACCGGTTTACCTTCGTATGCTAGTAGACAATCTATATATACTGAAACGGGATGGGAATCCCTAGCCCACCGGAGGTCCCGGCGGAAACTTCAATTATTTTATAAAATTCATCATAATATTACTCCTAATTATCAAAACACTCTACTACCTCCTCTTGTCGAAAATGCTCGATATAATCTTAGAAACGCCGAAAACTACAACCTGCCTAACAACAGACTAGAGTTATAACATGTCTTACTCTCCTTCTACTATTAGACTCTGGAATCAGTTAACTTGAAGTATTAGGCATATCTCCTCTTTTTCATCGTTTAAAAATGCCATTAGAGACAAACATTTGCCCCATGTACCCAATTACTTTTTCTACGGTGATAGAAAAAATAACATCCTACATACAAAACTAAGAAACCGTTCTAGCACTTTGAAAAACGATCTATTCCGAGTTAACCTGGTTGATGACCAACGTTGTATGTGTGGTTACCCTATTGAAGACACCTTTCATTTCTTTTTTAACTGTGATAATTATGTTGAACAGAGAATTAAACTTTATCGTGAACTGAATGTATACATCCCCTTTACATTGAATCTACTTCTTTTTGGAGATATAACAATTTCGGAACAAGAAAACAAAATTATATTCATGAATACTCAGCAATATATACAAGACTTCTCTGTGGGGACGGACTAGTTGAAACGGAAATACCAGCAAGAACGGAGTGAACAGGAGGAAGATATAATAGCACGGGATGTGATGAACATTGATCAGAAGAAAGTTGTGAACAGCGAATAGTATAACTAGTCCGTTCGCATGGAGAAGGAACAACCACGTGGTCTGATATATATTTTCTTAAATTTACAGTCTTGTTGCAGTACATATCTAGTACTCTTAAAAAATCTGACCCTCTAACCCCTTCTTCCCTCTCTTCTCACCATCCCCCTATCTCTCTCTCTTCCTTTATCTACATGTGCATGTTTATATTTGTGCGCATGTGTGTGGTTCGGTGCGTGAATGTGTGGGTGTATGTATGTCACTGATTAGTTAATTTATAATACATAGCTTATTTACGTAGTTCTGCCATCATGAAATTTTGTTAAAAAAATATTATTGTACAGGGAAAGGGCTTGATATAAGTTGTAAAACTTGTGCCCAATTCCATTGCTATGTAAAAAAAAAGGCAATACAATATGTTTAAAACAAAAACCTAGTATGGAACTAATTATAATTATTAAACATAACTTTATATTTTAAAATTATTTCCAAGTATGAAATCATCCGAGCTGTTTTTCCACATCAGAAGACATGTCTTTCAAAATTAGAAATCAGAAATAATCTGCATCCTCCTCGGCGATTAAATTGCCAACAGCCTTGTCTCTTTCTAGACAAAGAATTCTGTGGAAAAAATGAAGATTAGATTGGTGCTGATTTTATCCATTAGTAACGGTCATTTGGACATTTGATCTTATTCTATGGTGTAATGCATATGTCCGTCATCTTTTCCGTTAACTTTTGTTTTAAATGTAATTTTCAACAGTCAATAAACAAATTTTAACCAAACTTTGTAGTGAAGTAGCAATGGGTTCATAGGTGTTTGTATTTACCTAACGAAGGCATTTAAGGAAATCGGAAAATAAATAAAAAAGAATTATGACTTTTTGAAGTTCCCAAAAAAAAGGGCATTTCCTGAAAATCAATTATAAAAGTTCTAAATTGCGTTCTGACACCACTTTTAAGGCTCTGGAAAATTTATTTATGTATCAAAACTGTCATATTTTATTCCAATTGAATGAAGATTTGTTTATTAATATTGAAAAAAAATAACCAGACAATAACCTATTTCCACTTTACTTAGAAGAAACATATCATGTGGAAATGGGTTATTGTCTGTTTTTTAATATAAAGTCACTTTTTTAACGCGTTACTGTATATCGTTTTTGGCCCGAACCGCCACCCATATCACAGAGATAATAAAATAAACGCAAAATGTCCGTTCTATATTAAATTAGGAATGCTTAAAATGGATATGTTGAAAAGTAAAAGCTTCGTGTAACATGGACAAAAAATTGAAATTTGCGTCATAACCTAAACGCATTAACACATCAAAACATTGACAACGGTTTTGGGGCGAATCGTCTGTAATTCCTACGTTGCGCAATGGTAGCCGGAAACAACTATGAAACAAACGAACGCCATTTAGATTTTTAAGACACTGAGTATCAAGCCGTAACAATTTGCTCTAATGGATACATTATTTCGGTGTGTAAAGTTCGTTTTTGATTTTTTCAGCGTTCTATTTATTTTGCGTTTTCGAGTGAATCATTTGGGTGATTTTTTACGGAAAGTGCCGACAGTTCCCGATTGACCAACCCAATCAGTGGAGCTGTGATGTAAACACGGAAGTGACTTTCGTACGTTCTTCGTAATATGGCGGTAAATTTATACATGTGAAAATCTCATAATCATTGTATAAGTTTGATGCAAGCATGGTCGAGGGGCCAGGATGCAAGATCAAGGGCGAAAAGATCAAAGGAAAGATTCTCGGTCAGTCGGTCAGAGTTGTCCGCGGAAATGCTGTTGACAGGGTAACATAGATTGCACTAAAATTCACTTGAAGAAGCAGTTCCTTTGCAAAACCAAGTCTAAACATATTATTTTATAAAACGTTTGTTCGTTTATTTATTTGTTTTCATTTTCTCAAGCAAAAGATTATCGGTCCTAGTTTGGTTAACGTTTCTATTGAATATTAATATACCACTAAATAACTGCTAATCAGCTGTCGCACAATGAAACAATTCTCGTTTTTTTTTTTTTTTTTTTTTAAATATAAAATTATATACTCACAATATTTTTTAAAATATAAATGTTTATCACGTACCTGAATCATAGGGGTTCGTTACAACAGTGTATGTTTATGTGTGCTGTACTGACCCATATCAGCATATATGTGTATTTCAGACATTTGTAACTAACCCCTGTCTGGTCATAGGGCCATGTCATAAATATGGTATATAATTACACCACAGAATTAATATTAAAAATATGGTTCATGGTGGTTGACGTCTTCGTAAACAATGTGATTTTGTTGACGCTTCTTCATAGTTGTTCACAGGTTGCGCAGAGGAGTCAGAAAGCGTATACAACTTATATTGCATATTAGTACGAAGCACGATGGTAAAAACTTGATTGGATGATTGACCCAATGTTTATTTAAGGTTGGGTAATCTACCACAATTGTACGGAGTTGATTCCAAATCTTTACAATTCTATTTTCAAAAGCGTGTCCCCTAATGTTGGTCTTATACTGATTTTTAGCTCACCTGGCCCTTCCAAGTGAGCTTATGGCATGGTGCGTCGTCCGGCGTCAACTTTTTAGGTCACCTGAGACAAAGTCTCAAGTGCCCTATTGCGATCGCCTTTTGTCCGTCGTCGTCCGTCGTGCGTCCGTAAACAATTTACATTTCGACTTCTTCTCCAAAAACCCTGAACCAATTTCAATGAAATTTTGCAGGGACCTTCCATGGACAAAGGTCAACAAAAATATGGGCTGGTTTAGTCCCAAGCCCCCAGGGGCGGGGCCAAAAAGGGTCAAATTGACTAAAATTTCAAAAATCTTCTTCTCCAAAACCCCTGAACCAATTTCAATGAAATTTTGCCGGGACCTTCCATGGACAAAGGTCAACAAAAATAGTGGCCGGTTTAGTCCCAAGCCCCCAGGGGCCTGAGGGGCGGGGCCAAAAAGGGT